CCCGCCACCACGCCCGGCTAATTATTTATTTATTTATTTATTTATTTATTTATTTATTTGTATTTTTTAGTGGAGACAGGTTTTCACCACGTTAGCCAGGATGGTTAACTCTGAGGTACCCTCAAAGTACCTCAAAGTGAGAGATAGACGTATCAGACCACAATTTGCTTCTCCCATGATTGCCCACATGTCCTCTTGAACAAACAGATTGAAACTGCTGGGGACATATTTCTGAAGATGGAGTTTACATTCTTTTACTATTGGCTTCTTCTAGAACTAGAACCTACTCTACCCAAGCACAAAACAACCTATTTGTAGGTCTGTTATTTCCTCATCCCTGTGGCCCACCTCCATGCCTAAGCATAGGTTAGAACCCAGATTTTGCCTTTTTCTTTCCTTTTGCTTTAAGACTCTCAGATACATTTGGTATATTTTCCGAATATCCGTAGGTACGGTGATCTCCACTTTTTTTTTTTTTTTTAAAGAAAGTATTGTAAAGTACACCACCATATGTGACATCTCTGATTGTTCCATTTCTGACAGAAATACTTTGCTAATAGATGCATTTTTTTTTTTTTTTTTTTACTGAACAAATGTGTATTCTGTTTCTGTGCCAGACACTGATTTTATTCTCTTTCTAAAAGAGATTCAAGGTTGTTTATGGTAACAGCCTTATATACAATAAGGATGCTAAAGTGAAACATAAAATCATGAAAATTAAAGGAAAAACAAAAAGTATGCCAAGAGCCAGGGATAATAAGGAATTTAGTTGAACATTAATTTAACTCTGAGCTTCCTGACAGGAAAGGCAAGAAGAGAAATTTAGCAGGTTACATAATTATGTGAGAGGAAGAATGCTAATTCTTCAACAGATACTTTTTGCTGATATTAAGATTTTTAAAGCATTTAACAAAGAAGAACCTTATACAAGGGGCATGGAACTGGATAATGTCTTTAACCATGATTTTGCAACAAATCCATTAGGACTTTTTTGGTTGCAAGTACTAGTTCCATAGCTGAACTAGTTTAAAAAGCATAGGGGATTACTGGCGGATTCATATCTTAGTCAAAATCATGGGGACATTTTCTTCTCCATCTCTCAGATCTGTTTTCAATTTGGCTGACCCATTCTCAGGCATTACAATGGCAAGATGGAAATAGCAGGTCAAAACTTTACCTCCCCTCTCATGTGTAGCTCCTCGGGGTTGAGTCAACACTGAAGAAATAATTGAACTGAAAGAGGGGAAAGGGGTGATCACTCTGAAGGAAAGTAATGCATTGTAACCAGAATAAGGGCAAATAGGTGGTGGATAGCAAACTAAATTTCCGATTCTCCTTTTGGCTACTCAGTGTCCTTCCCATATGTACAATTTTTAAATGCCTATGCCCACATATAATGCATATACCACCATTACCCAAAAAGAATACCTGAATTATGATCCATCTCTGTAATGTAACTTCAGAACAAAGAACTAGGTGATTTATAGTTCCCTCAGGGAGGGATGATGGCTGACTTATAGATAAGTTTTGTTGTAGTTTCTCTTCAGTATCATTGTGTTTTCCATTTGAAATTTAGTTGGGTTTATTTGTTTACATTTAATTTCAGTTTTAGCCCCATTTTTCTATTCTTACTGATTTGTTTTTTTGAATATGTAGAAGATATTAACATATTTTCAAAAGTAAAAACCATACAGAAAGGTATACTCCTGTCACTTTCTTCTTTGTCTTCCCCACCCCATTTTCCCACACTCCTTGTAGGTAACTAACTTCATTGTTTTGGGGTTCATGCTTTATGTGTTAATCCAAAGATAAGCAAATGTATATGTATACTTCCTTATACATTTTAAAAGCTGCATAGTACTTCATTGTGTATATGTGCTATAGTTTATCCAACCAAACTCCTGTGCTTTGACAGGTAATTTCCAGTATTTCACAATTACAAATAATGCTGCAATAAATAACCTTATGTGTATACATTTTCATACTGCTGATGTATCATTTTAAGAAATTTCTGAAATTGAGATTGCTGTATTGGAGAATAAGTGCATATGTAATTTTGTTAACTATTGCCAAAATCCCCTCCATAAGTATTATGCCATTTTATATCTTTCCCAACAGTATATGAGAGCACCTGATTTTCCCTAGCCTCACCAACAGAGTGCATAGACAGACTTTGATATTTTTGCCAACTTGCAGAGTAAGAAATGGCACCTCATTGTAGTTTTAGTTTGTATTTTTCTTATTATGAGTGAGATTGAGTATGTTTTCATATTTTTGTGTCTATAAGATGTGGCACTGTTCACAGTAGCAAGGAGTTGGAGCCAGCCCAAATGTCCATCAATGATAGAATGGAATAAGAGGGTATGGCTCATGTTCACCATGGAATACTATGCAGCCATGAGAGGAAATGAGTTCGTGTCCTTTGCAGGGACGTGGATGAAACTGGAAACCATGATTCTCAGCAAACTATCACAGGATCAGAAAACCAAACACCACATGTTCTCACTCCTGAGTGGGAGTTGAACAGTGAGAACACATGGACACAGGGAGCCTGTTGGGGGGATGGGGGCTAGGGGAGCGATAACATTAGGAGAAATACCTAATGTAGGTGACGGGTTGGTGGGTGAAGTGAACCACCGTGGCACGTGTATACCTATGTAACAAAACTTCACGTTCTGCACATGTAACCCAGAACTTAAAGTATAAATAAAAAAAAAAGATTTTGGTCTCTTTTCCTCAACTTTGAAAAGTCTTTTCTGTAAATTAGGGCTGCTAACCATTTATCTCTGATATATGTTGCAAATTTGTTCTCACAGATTTGTCATTTTTTTTTTACTTATGGTACTTTTACATGCAAATTTTTCAAACTTGTTTTATGTAATCAAAACCATATTTTTATTTTATTCTATCCGGATTTTTACTCATAGTTAGAAAGCTTTTCTCAATATGTAAATTATATAATAATATGCTTTCTTCTACTATTTGTATAGTTTTATACTTTACATTTAGCTCTATCATCTGTTTTGGTTTTATTCTTGTGTGGTGTTAGGAATGTATCTAATTGTATCCTTTTCCAAATGGCTATCTAGTTTTTCCAGCACCAGTTGTAAAAACACTAACTTTTCCAAAGTGATTTGAGAAATACTACCCTTCTCATACACTACATTTTTATATGTAGCTGGCTTTTTTTCCCTTGAACTTATTATTCTATCACATTGATTTATCTGTATAATGTTCCAATGCTATTCTGTTTGACTTATGGAGGCTTTCTGGTAGAGTGCTTAAATATCTGACAGGGCTAGTTCTCTCCTGCCTCAAGACCTTCCTTTTCAGTGTTTTCTTAGCCATTCTTCTGTGTTTATTTTTCTATATGAACTTTAGAATAAACTTGTCTATGCCTCATAGAAAAGGAGCAAAATTTTAACTACCTCAACATGCAGTGGTGGAGAGAGAACAAAATTATTGCAATAAAATTTATCATTTGGATTATGAGACAATGGGAAATAACACTCCGTGGTCCTCAGTCCATAAAACATGACACACTTCTGGACTGGAATAGGATATATTGCCCTAGCAATAAGAATGAGACCCTCAATCACCTGACCTGTGAGCCTCTGGTTTTGCTTCCTTGGAGTATGTTCGTTTTCCTCCATGGGCACATCTGAGATAGGCATTTGGATTATCTTAATAAAGCTGCTCTCATTAGCAGCGTGCTTTCTCTCGGTGCCTCTAGGAACTAGAGATTGACTTAGGTCAGTGGTTCTCGAAGTGTGGCCCCTGGACAAACAGCACCAATATCATCTGGGAACTTGTTAGAAATGCCGATTTTTGAGCCTACTTCACATCTACTGAATCAGAAACTCTGGTACCTAGGGATCCGTAGTTTAACAAGGTAATTTTGATGCATGCTCAAATCTGAAATTTACTGGTTTAGGGATTGAATAAGTACATGTTACTTACCAAGTCTGAGAATTCTCTGATAATATAGCAGCTTTAAAAGTTCCA